GAGAGAGAGAGATATATATATATATATGTATATATATATATATATATATATATATATATATATATATATATATATATATATACATATATATACACGGTAGCGTCAGCTTGTGGCACACCCCGCAAGGCTTTGTGATTGTACAGATCTAACAGACACATGACCTGGTTTAGCTGGGGACCATGTCAGTACGTCGCCTCGCCTACCAGGTCCAGTATCAACAGGCATTCCCCATCGCTGACTCTGGCATGGAAACCATGCACGGTAGGCGGCGGAGGTTTCCATGCCGGATGCCCATGTCAAAACCGTCTCTGATGACACCTAGTTGACAAAACACTGCAGGGGCTCGGCGAGAAGTGCTTTACTCGCAACCGATAATTCATCTCTGCTTCATCCTAGACCAGTGGAACAGCTGAAATATTTCGTTTCCTAGACTGGGCTATGAATTGCGCGTGCAAAGGGATCGTATGGTACCGGCATCTTTGCGCACGTAAGACTCACAAGCTCGGCTATTGCCCTGCTGTATGTGATGATATCAAGTTAGATCAGGCCCATCCTGCCAAGTATTGGCGCATTGACACGCTACACGGAAAGGCTGGTGAGGGGGAAGCGTGTCACAAAATGCAAATGCGAGTCGTGGAGCTCACGATACGCGTCCAACGGTGGGGCAACGAAGCGTATTATTCCGAATCGCGCTCCAGGATTTACGGCTTCTGATGGCTCGTGATCTTTGCCTTTGTGTCTCTTTTGGCTATCTCAGTTACCCAACATCTGGCACATTCAGCACACGAAGTGTGTTGCACATTGAAAAGGCTGAGCCAAGTTTCTTAAAACCAAAGAATATAAGCCAGATCACCCTGTTCTCACTGACCTGTCAGCAGGCCACGCTGTTGTGCAGATGCCCATAATAGAACCTGTTTCAAAACAACTGACGCTGGCTTTCCATAATAATGAAGCCCACGTTTCTCAGGAACGCATTGCAACAGCGGGTCAAGATTGATTGTGATATGCCATGCATCAATGGCGTCTTTTGGATCAAGGTTTCGTGACGCGCGTGGTCCGCCACTGCAGCTGGCGTCCGGGCCCTCCGCTGGTGTCGTTCCACGGCGAACCAGGTCAGCGGGCGCCAATTCGCTGCAGATGGTATCTGCAGTTCGCTGTGTCCGCCTCCGCCGCTAATGGGGGGACGGTGACAGACGGCTTCAAACGCGCCCCCCCCCCCCCCCCTCCACCGCCGCCGCCGCCGGCGCTCCGGTGCGCGGCTGTGACCGCGAGATGGCGCCGAAAGACCGCCAACGAGCGGCGGCGTCGGCCATTCGCAATCATTGGGCCGTTACTCTGCCCGGCTGTCTCGCGTGTTATAATTATCACCAGTTCTCGCCTGGTTCCCCGTCAGCAAACAACCGTCGTCACTGTAAGTGCCTGCCGCGTAAATTCGCAATCTTCTCACCGTGTGCCAGCCCCGTGAATTCAATCAGCACGGCCGCCAATTGCCACTAACTGGAGTGGCCGCCGCGGGCGTTGGTCAGCGCAAATCGTGGCTGCCGACACGGGTGGCAATGCCCGCAAACGCCCGGTGTCACGCGCCCTGTCCCCGCCGGAGCCGGCCGGACCGGGTGCTTGGCGTCTTGTGAAAAGAGGTCAGCGGGCGAGCGCGCCGGCGGCGAGGCCGCAGCCGACGCGATCGACCGATCTCTCGGTCCCACCACCAGCTGACCTCGCGGCGCCGGCGAGTCGCTTCCCGCCACGCCGGCGCGCGCTTTTGTCCGAATCGGGCCCCTGTTTCGGATAACCCGGTGCCCGCGTCCGGTTTATGCTGGGGGTCGCCAGACTGAGCGCCTGGCCCGCGGGCTGGAGGGCCAGACTGGACTGCCTTGGCGAGCCTGGCGCTGTCTGGTCTGTCCAAACAGCACCATGCTGTGTGCCATGCCGCACGATGAGTACAGCAGCATGCATACCAGGGTTAGGCTGGCATGACAGTATTTCTGGCACTGTATGCGGGTTTTTAACAGGTGTAGCGCATGTTTTGAGCTACGTTATCGAGACCATCAATATGCAGCAAGGTCATCTGATACAGCGTCTTCTTCCTAAGGAGATGTGCTTAGAATTCACCATTATGCTCATCCTTTTGCCCGCAAGCTCATCCCATAATATTCACTGCTGGTCCTCAGTCATGGCCACTGTCCCCCGACCAGCCGTCCACATTTGTGGGCATCAGATGGTCACATCGCACACTGCATATTCACAGCCTGCTGTTCGTTCCCCTTCAGTGTCCCGTCACGCACACCGTGTCTAAACCGTCCCAATTGCACCCCGGCTCTCTCCTCCCGGTCCCGTGCCCCGACTGTCCCTTCACATGTCCCGACCATCTCTAGTCCGTCATCGAACGGACCCGTGCCTGACTGTCTGGGTCGTGGTCCCGTGTTCCGACTGTCCGGAGTTCAGAGCCCCTTGTGTCTCGTGTCCTGATGGTCCCGTGTCCCGTGTCTCGTGTCCCGTGTCCCGTGTCCAGTGTCTCGTGTCTCGTGTCTCGAGTGTCCCGTGTCCCGTGGCTCGTCGCCCCAGTCGTCCGTTGCAGCGGCCCTGGGAGGCGGCGCGCGCTGCGCCACGGACGCCCGAGATTTTCGCAACCGATGCCGGCCCGAAGGTCGACGGCGCCGCGCCTGGCACGGCCGGGCCGGGTCAGAGCAGGTGAGGCGTGACCCCGAGCCCGGCGCGCGGACTTCCCCCGCCGCCGGCCACGCACGTCATCTCGTCCACGGCGCGCGGTCATCATCAGCACGTCCTGTCCGACGCTGAGTAAGTAGGCTGAGTCGCCACTGGTTTTGTGGCTACTTTTGGTTAAAGAGACACTGTTCCTGTCTCGCAGAGGGCTAGTTCGGACGAGAGCACAAAGGGATTTGTGTCTTTTGAACAGGGATTTCGGAGACGCAACGCCACCGGAGCAAAGGTCACCACAAATGCCTCGGCATTCTCGCAAGGCATGTGAAGGCCACAGCGCATTGCACTGCGGAGGACGAAAGCTTCGATCGGTCAGGTGACGTCTGCAGATCTTTGGGGCGGACGGCTGGGTGTCATGAAGACCGTGGCCTGCGCGAACTTCGGAGCAACGGCGTGCACCAGCCACCGACGCCTGCTGACCGGGTCGAGTCATCGCCGATAATGACCGACAGAGGAGCCCAGCCGCCCACATTCCCGCCGTCGGCCGTCTCCTGACGTCGAGCCTGCTCCTCGACCGACGCCACCGACGGCGCGCGGGACCTTTGGCCAGCTGCCGTGAGGGTCCGCGGCTCGGGGACGACCGTTCGGTGAAAGTGCCGCGGCCGTCCGGCCGACTCCACGGCATCGGTCGCCGCGCGGGGGCCCGCCGGGGGACACGCCGCGTCACCGGTTCCTCCACGTGTCGCCGGCGGTCCGCGCGCCGACACCGACGCGTCGGCGTCGGCGTCGGCGCGGGCGACTTCCGACGCCGGCGCTGTCGGCGCGCACCGGCGCTCCGGCTCAGGGCAGCGGCATGCACACCGAACACGCAACCGCTGGCGTTATGCAAACTTGGCAACAGCGGTAGCGGCGGCGGCGGCGGCGTGTCTCGCATACAAGTAGGTCAATACCACCAGTGACGGCACCACAACATGACCCTCTGCACAGCGGCGGCGGGAAGCCTGCCTCGCGCGCCGAGCCGGCAGCTCTTCGGCATGGCACATCTTCCTTGTCGCAGACATATCATGCTTTAAAGCGTCCCCGTGTGGGACCATGAGGTTCAGTGCCGTCTGAGTTGACTGGAGGTGCATTGCCGAATTGTAAGGTCCTTGAACGCAATCATGTGCGTGGGATTGGTGGATGTGAGCTTACAACGCAGGTCCGATGTCATCATTCGTTGATAGCTCAGATTACCTGAAGGTCTGCGGCTCCCGATGACATTTGTTTCGATCGCTGTCCTGCTGCGTTTGCATGGCCGGCGATAAATACATTTTCAACCGCACCTCATCAGCATTTCTGTTCTTTTTGCCGCCGTGCTGCTCGTCCAAATCTGAACCTATGCCGTGATCACCCTCCTCAATGTTCGACCTTCTCGCTGACCCGAAAAAGCCGATGTCAAGACCCAAGTCAAAACTGCACCAGCTGCAATGAACTTGCCAATTGGCACTCTTACCGAAGGTTCAGCCCACTCAGCAGTGCTCTTGAACTGCGAACACTCGATCTCAGCAGCGCAGCCTTCGCCGCCGCCGGCCGTACTCAGCGTCCTCTCGGTCCGCGGGCGGGCCCGGAGCGCCGGCCGTCCCTGCGCCGGCGGACGGCGGCGGGCTCGAGCCGGCGCCGACGGCTGCCGCGGCGACCTTACCCGTCCCCGGCGCGCGGTCACGCCGCCCGTCACGCCGCCCGTTACGCCGCCCGTCACGCCGTCACGCGCGGCCTGGCCGCTTTTTACGCCGGGCGCAGCCGACCTCTGTGGTGGATCAGCCGTCGGATGCGGGCGACGCAAACAAACGGACCAATTAGAGCGACGGGCACGTGCCCTCGAGACATGCGGCCTCGCTCCCCGCTGGCCAACGATCCCGAACGGCGGCCAACACGAGAGGAGGTGAAGGGAAATGGGAGCGTCATTAGGGACCGGGCTGTGAGCCCCACTGGTATGTGGGAGCCCAGCGACATGACAAAACGGTGTTTTGGAACTCGGATGCGTCTGTTCATGTTGCCGTGCGTTCTGTGTGCGGCGTTTGTGAACTGTGACGCCTGGGTAATACGTGATTACAATATTGTAACTTATAAGATCGTGCCATGCCATGGCTAATGGTATGAAATGAAATATTCTATCTGCATCGGTGTTTACGAAGTGCGGCTTACGAGCCAAGCGCTCGAAACCCCACAAAAAGATAATGCCCTGCAGCCACACAGCACGCACGTGGGAGCGCATGGGACCAGTTCGTGCCGTCAGCGGCAGACCGCGCGCCGCCAGACCAGCGCCCTGTCCTCCAGCCTGCGGTCGGACCGGCCGCACTGACCTCAAAGTAGCCGGACTTCCTGACGGCCCGATGCGAGCAGATGACCATGATGGTAAGAATGATGAGAAGCGCGATCCCCGTGATGTTGGCAGAGCCGGCGAACCAGCCGATGCCCATGGACGTGTCGAACAGGTAGTCCTGCACCGTGACCCCCGAGCTCTGCGACATGTTCACTGTGGAGCGGGTGGCAGTGAGGTCGCCAGGTCGGCCGGGATCGGCGGCGAGGTCACGCCCTGGCCGCGGCCGCACGATCACTCCCGTCGACAGGGTCGCACGCAAGGTCAGCTGGCTTATGGCGGAATGAAGCGCCAACACCCTTGAGTTTCATAACAAGACCACGTAGGCGAGAATGAGTTAGTTTTCTTAGATGTTTTCACCCGTTCGCATAAGGCCCATCACAAATGAAAGGACTGCGACGTGAAAAGTGCATGTTTCGATAAATACTGTCATTGAAACCAATGATCTTTTAGATTTAAGAGATCAGGGTTACCAAACAGCTCAAGCAGCGGCATAACCACGGAAATTTGACTAGAATTGCGATGTTTTTTCCGATAACCTCACCGAAATGCTTTTGCCGAAAGTGCCTTAATATCTGAGTGCATCATTGTAATTGCTTTCGTATCTGAACACCTTAATAAATACAAACGTATCTAAAAGCACCTGCCACCCTTCTCCCACAAGGCACCACATTAAAATCAGAGCACCGCGGTATTAGCACGGCACAAAAAGCGAACGGAAGGCAACATTGAAATTACCGTTTGAATTTACGTCACGCTAGTCAGTTTACGTTTTTGGCCGCTTTACGCCAACAAACTTACGCTACGCTCTACGTAGTTCAAGGGATCAGGCCTATTAAATCCATTGTGAACTCTGTATACTTCTTAGATCTAGATGGCAATTCTTTTCTAAAGGGCGTTCCTTTCAGTAGCGACTGATGCAGAACAATGACATATTCCAGCTTTTGTAATGCTGATCAGTAAGCTTCTCCGCAACGCCATGACCGAATGTGCTACCACATGTGAGAGCAGCACAAATGCTGCCATATTTGAAAGAAGGAGCATTTCCGTCGATGCATCCATGATGACAGAAGACAAGGAAAGAATTACCTTATTCCAACTGACTCAAACAGTGACGGCCGCTACCAGGCCTCGCGGATCGCCACTACATGCTCCGTGATACGGACCGACACAATCAAAAGCAGTACGCCCGACAGTCCACAAACAAGAGCAGCCTCCCACGTCTCGCCGGTGACGTCAGCTGCATGCCAAGCAGCTCACCCCGGCGCATCTCACAGGCCGGTCCGCCCGCCGGCGGCCGCCGCTCACCGAAGTTGGCCATGTGGAAGAGGGTGTGCGCGCTGCTGAGGATGTAGACGGACCAGCCGGCCATCTTGTGCAGATAGATGTGGTGCTCGAGCGGAAGCAGCTGGCCGACGTGCCTCGTCCGGAGCCAGGTCAGCACGCGTCGCAGCACCAGCAACAGCACCACGGCGCAGTCGAAGTTGAGGCAAAACCCTGGTGGACGCGGTGGGCATCAACACGCGGCATGGCATCAGCCTACACGATGGGAATCATCAGCGGACGTAATCAGCGCGCGGCAGGGCATCAGCCGACATGATGGGAATATCAGCGGACGTGATGGGGATCAGCGCGCGAAGTGGTGTCAGTCGACATGATGGGACTGATCAGCGAACGTGACGGGGACCAGCGCGCGGAGTGGTGTCAGCGGACATGATGGGACCCATCAGCGAATGTGATGGGAATCAGCGCGCGACTTATCAGCGGACGTCGTGAGGATCAGGACGTGAGATCAGCAGACACGATGGCACACAACAGACTTAACGGGGCTCTGCACCCAGTGGCCAGGGCGGAGCTCAGCGGACGTGATGGGATCAGCGGGCGTGATGGGTGTCCGCGGACATGATGAGTGCCAGCACTCGACAGGCGTGCCACTCTTCAGCGGTCGGCCGGCCGTGGCGAAAGCCCACGACGATTTTCTCCGTGGCACAGGGCTCGATGTGGGAAAAGGACGCTAATGGCAGTGATTGAGTGGCATTTTGTTGTCCTGTGCGTCATTACCGTCTCTGAAGCTGCCGACAGGGCCCACGACGGACCGAGGTGGAACAGAGAGACCCGTGTGTCAAAGACATCTGATAATGTTGTGCGCTGAGAGATCCGTAAAACAACTAGATATCTGTACAGGTTGTCAGACTCCAAATGCGCGATTATGTAGCCGAAAATAAGCCCGCGAACGGTGAGGAGAAGGTGATCAACTCCTTGGATTGGGGTCAACACTGTGGATAAAAGAACTTAATCCTGGTTTTGTTCACAACTCCTCGGAGCGGCAGTAGCGAGTCATGCACATGCGCACACAAACATAAATCGCGTTGCGAGCTTCTCAGGTGCAGATTCCCTGCCCTGGGGCCCTGGGACGGGGTGTCCGCTTGCAGCTCATGTGTTCGTGAGATGGTGCGACGCCTGCCGGCTGCATAAGACTGTGAAATCAATATTTACTACAATATGTCAAATATGTTTTCATGATACCGGGCCGCATGTAAGGAATTTTCAGTATGTTAAGCACTGAATAATACCCCGCACTGGGCCAAGTTTTGTTGCCCACCGACCAAATATTCCCCACCTGGCAGCCTTTCTGGCGCAGTTTATTATAACCGCATCATATATGTAATATGTAGACTTATTCTGTACCACATAAACCTGTTATAACCCAGCTATTTACCATAACCAAGTTGCCATACTTTTGCCTTCATCCATCTGGGCGTAAAAATACAGAAGCCTTAATCCGAGGAAAATTCGAATTTGGGGTCGGTTGGTTATGTTAATCCTAGTTCGAGATCAGTCATGTCATTGGGTTGTCCCCAAAAGTCCTTACAAAAGGCCTTGGTTTCGCAATATTCGCATCGGTTGGCATCACCTGAAAGTTCACCAGATCGCATCAGCTTTCGCAAACGATCGTTACTGCCCCGCCGCGCTATGTTTATGGATAAGGAATGGCAAACATCAGGACAGCTGTTTCAAAAGAGCTCGAAGACTCATCTCCACGACCCATGCAACGCTACGTTTGGTAGTTCATCGTGGACTCCTGCATTTCCATGTCGTAGTTCACGAAGCGCTGTGCCTGGCGAATGGAGGCTAACTGAACTTGATCTGTTGGACTCTGACACTGTCCCTTTACAGCTACACGGTTGCAAAACGACCACTCCATACACGGAGATCAAACACGGCTGTAAAACTGCCGTATACCCTAAGACCTCCCGTGAGTAAAACTGCCTCCTCCTAAGACCTGTCACCTCCCACCGGCACATTTTAGCAAAAGTAGATCGCGCGCTCGCATAACCCCAATTTCCACCCTGTCCCGCCGGACACCCCCGATCAGACGCGGTCGTGTGGGAGCTAGGCGGCCGGCCGAGCTGGGGCTTCGAGTCGCAGTAGACGGGCTCGGCGCCGCGGGCGATGCCAGATGATGTTGCCAAACCGGGGGTGGGCCGCCGGTTGCTGATTGGCCTATTAGCTGGATGCTACCGTTAGCAAGGTCGCCGGCGGACGGCGAGTCGCGCTGGCCGGTCAGGGTCGGCTCGGCCGGGTCCGGCCGCCAGCGCGCCGGTGCCGCTGATGCAATCACGGCGGCAAACCTGGCGCCGCGCAGCAAAGCAGAAGGTGGGAGGTGTGGGCGCAGCGGCCGTGCTCCGGCGGTGGCCGGGTGAGCCGGGCCGCAGCTGGCGCTGGGCGTGCTGGCTGGAGCTCGGAGGGGCCGGGGCAGGCCGCTGTAAGGTGTGGGCGCAGCGGCCGTGCTCCGGCGGTGGCCGGGTGAGCCAGGCCGCAGCTGGCGCTGGGCGCGCTAGCTGTAGCTCGGAGGAGCCGGGGCAGGCCGCTGTAAGGTGTGGGCCCAGCGGCCGTGCTCCGGCGGTGGCCGGGTGAGCCGGACCGCAGCTGGCGCTGGGCGCGCTAGCTGGAGCTCGGAGGAGACGGGGCAGGCCGCTGTAAGGTGTAGGCCCAGCGGCCATGCTACGGCGGTGGCCGGGTGAGCCGGACCGCAGCTGGCGCTGGGCGTGCTGGCTGGAGCTCGGCGGAGCCGGGGCAGGCCGCCGTAGTCTCCAATCGGTGGTGGAGGGAGCCGATGGCGGGGGATACCGGAACCCTCTGGCCCTCAGTGGCGCAGACAAGATGGTGCATAGAGCAGATTCCTGAACGGAAGCACCCGGGCACGGATGACGTTTAAGGCTATGTTTGAACCAACCGCCCCTGTAGCTAAAGAAAAACAAAATATACGCTGCATATTTGTTGGAGATTACGCGCAAAGCTTTAGTCATAGACGACGACGGCTTGCTGAGCCCAACATACAACATATTACACCTTGAATGTGTGATCATAGTCGGTGACAAAACGATGGCGGAGGGGAGGAGATTTTGTCGATGGTCGGCCGCGATCTTCTAGTCACGACTTGCTTCGCGAAACGGCCACGAGTACTGGCACGTTTCACTAGTGAAAGCACCTCTTCGATCAGGCACGATTGGCTCTGTTGATCAATCAGACTCCTTTTCATTCGGCCGATTCTCCGCCCGTTTCTAAAGCGTGCAGAGACGTTTCGCTCGCGGGTTGTCTCTTGGCGGAAACGTAATCGCTTAGGTAATAGAAGCGTGACACAACATTTCTGTAAGTTCGGCACCAAGGTTGCTCATGCGATGTGATATTGAGGCTTAATTCTCCCGCCGTTTAAGCTGAATCGGTTATTAGTGGGAATGTCAAGTCATATTAAAACGCGCCTGACCTCGACCCTTACATGGCACAGTGCTGCACGCCATGACCCATGTGCGAGAACCAGTGCATAAAAAACAGCTGATAAGGAATGGCTTGACCCAGCCATCTCTGTGTAGTTAGAGCTGATGTTTTTCCTGCACCCTTGATCTTTGCCGTAGTTTTAAATAGGTTCAGCCATTCTTATATCTCGGGACGAAATAGCTGTTCCGGCCATCGTTCTCTTTTTTCTGTGTAGATACTAGCATACCGCATGAAGACGATAGTCCGAACAATCATTTAATCCGTTACGCCGTTATCGTAACGCCTCTTCTTAATAATCCCGTGAAACCCAGACTCGCCATGGTGCTCCTAGCTACATGCAGTGCCTTCCGTGTTGTCCTTACTATCTCCTGCGTCTCACATTCGTCCTTGCCCACCTCTGCAGTGTCTCACCCGTGGCCCCCTGTCTACTCCTGCAGTGTCTCACCTATGTCCCCCTGTCCAACCCTGCAGTGTCTCACCCATGTCCCCTGTCCACCTCTGCAGCGCTTCACCCGTGTCCCCCTGTCAACCCCTGCAGTCCACCTCTGCACTGTCTCACCCCTGTTCACCTCTGCAATGTCTCACTCCTGCCCACCTCTGCAGTGTCTCACCCGTGTCCTCCTGTCCACCTCTGCAGTGTCTCACCGCTGCCCACCTCTGCAGTGTCTCACCCGTGTCCTCCTGTCCACCTCTGCAGTGTCTCACCCCTGCCCACCTCTGCAGTGTCTCACCGCTGCCCAACCCTGCAGTGTCTCACCCCTGCCCACTTCTGCGGTGTCTCACCGCTGTCCACCTCCGCAGTGTCTCACCTCTGCCCACCTCTGCAGTGTTTCACCCCTGCCCACCTCTGCGGTGTCTCACCCCTGCCCACTTCTGCGGTGTCTCACCGCTGTCCACCTCTGCAGTGTCTCACCTCTGCCCACCTGCGCAGTGTCTCACCCCTGCCCACCTCTGCGGTGTCTCACCCCTGCCCACCCCTGCAGTGACTCACCTGTGCCTCTGGCCATGCGCTCGAGCAGCGACCGGTCCCGGTACTGCCACACGCGCCAGCTGAAGAGCACGACGTTAACGCCGGCGTACAGGGCCGTGAACGCCAGGAAGCTGGCCGCGTTCCGCAGGTAGCCGGCGCGCAGGAATCGCGGGCGGCGCGGACGCAGCCGCGACCGGCACGGCGTCACCTTCGGCCTGCGGGCAGCAGGTCAGCCGTCAGGTCGGGGGTCAGGGCAGGGGTCAGCACGGCGCCTGTGGTCTGTGGGCGGCGCATGGCGCGGCTCGAAGCACGGCTTATGCAAAGTCGTGTGCATGCACAGATACCCTCAGGGCATCCACTGTCGACCACTGTTAGCGGAATTTCGCTTTATTGTCACGAGATAAGAAGGCTGGAGACAGAGTGCTCGGTGGGTCAGTTACCGCGACGCAGCGGATTCTGCTTTGCATATCAAATGTGTTTTCCTTTCTTGCATGCTGTCTTTGATCGTCCGTTGACTGGATTCTTATCTACTTAAGCGTGATATGACCAACCATGGCCGTTGCAATACAACTTTAAGGTCATCATCGCAAAGTGGTTTGGTGCATAGTGGTACACTACAAGCCACGTGCAACGCCCACGCAGACGCCGGACTTTGTCGGAGTGCCGAGGTGAGTGCCGGGGTGATTGCACGGTTCCGGGGTGGGTGTACGGTGCCGAGGTGGGTGGACGGTGCCGGGGTGGGTGTACGGTGCCGAGGTGGTTGGACGGTGCCGGGGTGGGTGGACGGTGCCGGGGTGGGTTTACGGTGCCGGGGTGGGTGGACGGTGCCGGGGTGGGTGGACGATGCCGAGGTGGATGGACGGTGCCGGGGCGGGTGTACGGTGCCGAGGTTAGTGCACGGTGCCGAGGTGGGTGGACGGTGCCGAGGCGGGTGAACGGTGCCGAGGTTAGTGCACGGTGCCGAGGTGGGTGGACGGTGCCAGGGTGGGTGGACGATGCCGAGGTGGATGGACGGTGCCGGGGCGGGTGTACGGTGCCGAGGTTAGTGCACGAGGTGGGTGGACGGTGCCAGGGTGGGTGGACGGTGCCGGGGTGGGTGGACGATGCCGAGGTGGGTGAACGGTGCCGGGTGGGCGGACTGTGCCAGGGTGGGTACAGGAGGAGCTGAGCCTCAGCTGCGGCCGGTCAAACAGCTCCGAGCTGCTGCACAGCCCGGACGCACGGGAGAAACAATAGGTTGGCCAAACAACAACGGTAGTCACGTGTGCCGACTAGCCTTGGCCTGCTCGGACACTGAAAGACAATGCCGTCACAAAACCACGCGAGCTATCTGGAAGGAACCCGGACCAGGCGGTGGGGGTCAATGCGCCGCCACCTGCTCGACATTCCCCCATGTTACAGGCGAGCCGCCCGGCGCTCTCTCCCTGGCCGTGGCAGGGAGGCCGGCGTACCGTTTTGCGCCTGTTTTGTCACACTTGCTACACCCGTGTGGTTTAGGTGTTGCAGCGCGGTTGGCTGGCTCATGACCGGCCGCATCCAAAGGCGCCCGCTCTGGTTCCGACATGCGCCCATGCAGCTGTCTCTCCCCACGCGGGCGCTCGGAACGGTCGCGCTTGGCACCCGTCAGCTCCCTCTCGTGTGCCAATGCTATTACCAACGAGATAGCTTGTGCATGATGTTTGCAATGACGTGTTTGTTGCACATTGTTTTTCGTACGTGATTTCAGCCCTGACTAATGCAAGTATGGAGGATCCGAGTCATTGCCCTCCGTGTGATTATTCCTTGTAAAGCAAGGTAGGAAAAACCTCAAAGACCGCAGGGAAAATACACATAATGCTAGCGACGCGATGCAGCAATGGCATTTAACTTATTTTTCAACCGCATCGTCATTCAAATTTGAATTATGGCACATGAAGTGACTATGTAAATAAAGTGATTATCAAGCGACATATCTCTTTGGCCTGAACTGAGCTTGGTTAAGTCTATTGTGCCATGTGTATCAACGTAACCATACCGAGCGCCAAATCCTTCCATTGTTTGGTTTCATTGTTCGTAATGCTTAACAGAGAACGAATCACTACAAACACCGCTTCAGTGCTGGCTGTGACAAACTTGCGAAACAAACGTTTCCACCAAAAGATAGCCTGTCTGACTGTTCATTGTTACTCTCAGACCGAGCAGCAGCCAGAGCTCTGAGTCAACCGATTTCTGATGGATGCGGCAGGCTGTTTTTGGCGAGAACCCTGCCTATCTGCTGCATGTCACTCAATTCAAGAACTGTCAGCTCCACCTTTCATATCAAGCAATAAAAACAAAATTAAACATTTTGTGGAACGGATTGGTTTCACGGCGTCGGATATTCAGCGGGATTCAAGGACGCGTCATCACAACCATCCGCCCAATTGCCAGGATTCCAGGAACGTGCCAGGGGAGTCATAATGCCACCAGAGGAGGCCGCTTCAGGGTGGAAGGCTTAAGTGACTCCCATCAAATCTTAGAGCTCTCAAATGTGACTTTGGAAGATGAGATCCACTTCTGGCTCACAAACGACAAGTAAACACACCTCGGTCAAAGCCAGATCTAAAAACTCGTGACAAAAAACAGGCGAACGATGCAGCACTAGAAGGTCAGGCCATTGAAAGTGTCATTCAGCTGATTGTTGCGTCAGTCCCAGGCCTTACCCCACTGAAGCCCTGGCAGGACGTCGACATCGTTGTTCAGAAGTTTGGGCGGGAGTACTGCGGCAGCCGGATCCACCGACTGGCTGCGGACTCAGACCCTTTCTCAGCTCTAGCTGAGCGAAGTCCACTCTGACTCTGACTTAGTTCACACAAATTTGATATCGACTTTGACTGGAGGTGACTTTGTGGGGCTGAATTTGGCTTCATATCTTTTTCTAGCCGTTCAAAAATAGATTGTCGACTTGACTCCGAATCGAAACAAGATTTTCCCGGTTAGGGCCGACCACAGGGAAAATGACTCCACTTCTTTTTCTTCTGTTTTGTCTGTGGAGAGCACTTTTCACATTGTTCGGCATGTAACGAAAGCAGTTGGACACCAACAAGCCTGCATAGAAACGTATAATCAAGATCAGCATAAAGAATCGGAGTCGTAGCCAAGGGAGGAAGCACGTGGGCACTGCTCCCCTTCAACCAATATGCTTGCACTAGATTTTGAGCGAATCCACAGAAATTCAGTCCAAATTCACAGGACGTGAAGATATGTTTATATTTTTCCACTCCCCGTCAGGAAAGTTTCATCAAGTGTGTGGCATGTATGGCGCAGGCTTCAAAATGTTCATTGTTGTTAGCCGGCGTCGTTCATAAATCCGATTCTCCCTTTTCCCCACTTCTCTCTCTCTCTCTCTCTCTCTCTCTCTCTCTCTCTCTCTCTCTCTCTCTCTCTCTCTCTCTCTCTCTCTCTCTCTCTCTCTCTCTCTCTCTCTCTCTCTCTCTCTCTCTCTCTCTCTCTCTCTCTCTCTCTCTCTCTCTCTCTCTCTCTCTCTCTCTCTCTCTCTCTCTCTCTCTCTCTCTCTCTCTCTCTCTCTCTCTCTCTCTCTCTCTCTCTCTCTCTCTCTCTCTCTCTCTCTCTCTCTCTTCTCTCTCTCTCTCTCTCTCTCTCTCTCTCTCTCCTCTCTCTCTCTCTCTCTCTCTCTCTCCTCTCTCTCTCTCTCTCTCTCTCTCTCTCTCTCTCTCTCTCTCTCTCTCTCTCTCTCTCTCCTCTCTCTCTCTCTCTCTCTCTCTCTCTCTCTCTCTCTCTCTCTCTCTCTCTCTCTCTCCTCTCTCTCTCTCTCCTCTCTCTCTCTCTCTCTCTCCCTCTCGGCTGCTCTCTCTCCCTCTCTCTCCTCTGCCGTCACCAATAAAGGATAAAAGCCACAAAGTCATTTCCCACATGGCTCGCACCACAGCCGGTGCTGCAGTGGCGTGGCACCCACCAGTGGATGGGACCGTTTGCGTACGTGCGGCCGCCCCCGCAGACCGCTGAGCCAGTGGCGTTTTGTAAGCCGTCGGGCGGCGTTCACTAATGCAATTCGTCTGGCCTAGTTATGCGGCCCGTTTTAGAGCGCTGCGATGATTGCCAGACGTGGCTGTGTGCGACCGGAATATCACCGCAGCTGGGCGCCCGCTGACGCCAGCGGAGCTGGCATCTCAGCAGAATGACGCCGCTGCTGAGATGCCGGGCGCTGAGGAGCAGATGGCGACGACTGAGCACAGCGCCGACATCAGTGGCGTGCCAGACCCCCACACGCGTGGGTAACCATGTTTTTGTACCGGTCAGCCGTGTCACAAACAGGGCGGCATGGTGTCATCACGCCTCAGCGATTCGCGACCACTGCAAGAGCGTGGCCACGCAAGGAATTCGCGAATATATAGAAATATCTGCAAGTTGCTGGGAGAGGATGTTCAACCCGCATCTTGGTCAACCTATCAATGGTGACGCGTCGTTACGCAGGGCCTGCGTTGCGCTAATTTGACACGTTTCAGTACCACCAGTTATTGGAAAGCGTCACCATGGCGGGGAATGGCGTGAGGTGGACAGCTGGCGACTCGGAATGACACGCCTCTCCATGCTGCTGCGAGGAATTTCGCCATACCCGGGTGCCTGGATGCGAGACGGAGTCTCCGAATCTGTGAGCCTAAGGATGACGTGTCTTCACAAACGAGGCGCGCCAGCTCGGGCGGCTCCGCACCGAGCACGACAGCCACGTCGGGGTTCGCGGACCGGCAGGCCTGTCGTGTCGGAAACCTGCCCTAGTCCGGCAGACCTGTCGTGTCGGGAGCCTGCCCTAGTCCGGGAGGCCTGTCGTGTCGAGAGCCCGTTCCAACCCGGCAGACCTGCCGTGCCGGGACACACGTGGTGGAAGGCGACGGAGGCGGACGACACGCGTACCCCGGCCGGCCGGCGGTGACGTGGCCGGCTGCCGACGCCGGCAGCACTTCCAGGGCGTGGTGCGCTCGTGACGCGTCAGTGACAGACGCTGAGTGTAAACACGCTCTGTCCACGACCGGCGCTTCGCTGTTTGCATCTGTTACAGGGTGGCGAGGGAATGTGTATGTAATGTGCACAGGCGCATGGTTTCTTTGGACAGTGCAGACATGGTGTTGTGGACATACGCCGCTACATATTTGTTAGACACGCTTGCGGTGCGTCCAAAAGGTGAGCATTGAAATGATGCGTTGGAATTCAAACCTACCGGACCGTGTGTTGAGTGACAAGAACGCTATTCTTGGAAGTCATGCTGAAAGTGAACAGACAATCCATGCGGCTCAGGCCTCGAAATTCGAACATCCTTTCGCGAGAATTCTTTGAAAGAGGTAGCAAACACCGAGCATCCACCTTACACTCGGAGGGACAGTTGGTTTGCTTGCTCGCACTTTATACTAGCACCTGTCATCCGCGAAATAGTTGTGCCACTCGAACGAGAGATTTAACCAACTTCAAGATAACTGGATACAAATTAAAAACCCAAATGTCATGTCACCCATTGCATATAGCCTGTCGCGTTGCCTGACAACAAGCTTCGAGCTGCTCTATATTGGTACCAGCCAGGGCGCGTCGGAACGCCTCGCCGACCCGTTCGGCGGCCACATGCAGCATCTCTGGTGAATTAATCACTGAGTCGGCGCCAGCGCCGACCGTGACATCACCGTGCGGCGCTACACCAGCCAGCGCGGCCGGGCCGCTGTCGGGGACGTGTCGTGGGCTCAGATAGACATTCCGACCGCACCTTTCTGACGCAACAAGTGCTATAGCCAGCGTGGGTGGGGCGGCTACGATACAGCGGCCGAGCCCACACAGGAATCGGGGAGCAGCAGCATCAGGGACTCGTACAAGCCGAGCCAATGAGGGGGACGGACACAATATAGAGGCCGAGCCCGCACAGGGATCGGGGTTCATCATCGTCAGGGACTCGCACAAGCCGAGGCAATGATGGGGACACACGATATAGAGGCCGAGCCCGCACAGGGATCGGGGAGCAGCACCATCAGGGACTCGCACAAGCCGGGCCAATGCGATCTTTGTGACGGTGAGGGTGATCTGCTGAACACCACGTGTGCAGTCAACCTATGTGGGCCACCTAAAGGCATTAAACCGCATCGTGTGATCATGTCAAGGATTCGCTTCAGAGGCTCCATAACGGCCCTAAACAGCGCCGGCGACACTTCCCGACCTTGTGCCGTATGCAGATGGCATTCATGGTTCCGACGAGGCCACCGTTCCGCAGACGCTTCGATAAGTCGGCCATCGTTTTCTAGCCCATCGGGAGAACATGCGACGCCACATGTCCATCTGGCCTCTGGCGACACTAGTGGGCCGCCCTTGTTGCCGAGCTTCCCCAGCTTCCGCCTACCAGTTCCTGTCCTCCCTATCAAAGGTGCCGACCGAGCGTGCGCTGACTGGCCGGTGTTTTTACAGCGCGGGCGGCTGCCAGACGCGGCAGTCGCTGCGGCGTCTGGCAGCGTCAGATCTGGGGTCCCGCTCACCAGAGGCGCTGTCCAGGCAAGCAGGCATGCACAAGCAGCTGCATATTATCGAGCCAGAATTTCAACAATGCCTGTTTGGTCTCTTATCGATATCAGACTGAGGTGGGCGAAACAAGCGCGTCCCTCCGGAAACGCCGCTGACAGCGGGCCTGCGACCGACGCTCGGCCGACAGCGGAGCGTCCAGCCGACCCCCAGCAGCTCCTGGCAGCCGCGGGCGACGGCCGGTCGCACCCGCCGCTGCGCCGCCGCGAACTCTGACTCCGTTACGACACGGGGCGGCGCCAGGAGAAGACTCAATTAGACGTGGGGATGCGCTCGGCGGCGGCGTTGGGCAACGCGACCGCCCTGCAAACCTCCGGCCGTCCCGCCCACTTCCGTGCTGTCGAAACGCGATGTGTAACGACGGATCGGTGTCGGCCGGGCGGCTGCTCCAAACAGAGACGCGCGCGGCACGCTGGCAGCGGCGCCCCGCCCACCCCGGCTGAGCCACCGGCTGGGAGCCGTGTGCGAGCAGGGTAAACATAACGACGCGCCGTGGTACGGCGGTGGGGGGCGGGGGCGGCGACGGCGGCGGACGTCACTGACCGCAGCGCGAGCGCGGGTCGGCCGCGGGGGTCGCGCCGAGCCCAGCTCAGCGAGCGGCGGCACGGTCGCCGCCGCCCGCTGTCGCCGAGCGGAGCCCCGCCGCTCCCCTTTGTCGGCGGCCGGCGGCGGGCAGCCAGGCACGTCGGAGACGCCGACACGGCACAGGCGGCCAACACCGGCGCCGCAGTCCGCACCGGCGGGTCAGAGACCGTCGGTGACCCGCACGCGGAGAGGCCGGTCACATCCGGCCTGTCCGGTCATGGACTGGCTGAGCGGGAAGACGCCGCGGAAGGTCGCGACCGGGCTTTGTGAAGCGCAGGGGTTGACCTACAAGAATGTTCACGGGGGTGTTTGGTCGCGTGGAGTCTTTGCCAGGCTCAGAGCTGGAAGCTGGCAGCAGCCGATTGCAGGACGATGACGTGACGTCGGGACGGTGTAAGAGAGCGGAGCTGTGCGTCAAACATTCATACCGCGAACGTTTTTAGCAATCGAGGTTAAGAGTGTCACCTTCCTCAAGTTGGTTGGGGGCTGAGCCAATAAAGCTGGTCTCGCCTGCCCCCAAATCCCGATTTCTCCCCGGTTTCGGCCAATTTGACTGGTGTATCCGGAGCCTTAAAAAGTGGTCCGCTCCAGAATTGTTACATGCCGAGTATAAACTTCCTGTTTTAAGCCGATGTGCCAGTGCCAGTGATGTCATACGTTGATGTGATGTGATCAGTACCAAGTGTGCCAGGCATTCAGACACTTTCCGTCTGCATTTCAGTGCCCGGTCTTCTGTTGTTTGCTCATGCGTATTGGGGGAGCTCAGATGAGCAATGAAGGGCTCAAATGAGCATTGGCGGGAGGGGGAGGGGGGGACAGGCACCCTGGAAGTGTACATAGTGACGCGCCTAGTCGAGGTGCGAGACTCGTACGCGGGGAACAAGCCGGAACGGATCTTCGCTCTCACGAGACGGCATCCACCCAACACGGGCACCCCAGCCCTTGCCGTCGAGCCGCGCTCCCCGCAGTCGGAGCGGCAGGAAGTGCGTGCACAAGATCTCTCTGTCAGCAGGAGGCAGCTGCGTGCCGGGGCGCGGCAAACCGCCTGCGACCTCGTCACCGCTGCCAACGCGGTCACGGGGCCGTTCGTGCCGCGACCACCGGGTGAGCGGGCGACCTCCAGCGCGCCGCGCCCATCTGGATCACCGGGAAGGGGAAACGGCCTGGCTCGAGGTGCGGACCAGGCCAGGGCTCCGGACGGCATACCGGACCGGGGCTCTGGGCGGTACACCAGGCCAGAGCTTCGAACGGCACAGCGAGCCAGGGTCCCGGACGGTATACCGGGCCTGGGCTCTGGGCAGTACACCGGGCCTGGGCTCTGGGCGGTACACCGGACCGGGGCTCCGGACGGTACACTGGGCCTGGGCTCGGGACGGTACACCGGACCTGGGCTCTGGGCAGTACACCGGGCCTGGGCTCTGGGCAGTACACCGGGCCTAGGCTCTGGGCAGTACACCGGGCCTGGGCTCTGGGCAGCACACCGGGCCAGGGCCCCGGGCGGTACACCGGACCGGAGCCCCGGACGATGCACCGGGCCAGGGCCCCGGACGGCACACCGGACCGGGGCTCCGGACGGCACACCGGACCGAGGCCCCGGACGGTGCACCGGGCCAGGGCCCCGGACGGCACACCGGACCGGGGCTCCGGACGGCACACCGGACCGGGGCCCCGGACGGCACACCGGGCCAGGGCCCCGGACGGTGCACCGGGCCGGAGCTCCGGACGGTGCACCAGACCAGGTCTCCGGACGGTGCACCAGACCAGGTCTCCGGACGACACAACAGGCCGGGGCTCCGGACGTCGGACCAGCGAGGGTGCCGCCGCCGCTGGCTCGGTTACCACACGCCAGCGCCGCGGCCGAGCCGGTGATTGATGGTCGCGGACGCCTCGCGAGCCGGATATTGCACCTGGCCTGACGACGGCGCCGATGCCTCCAGCCAATTTTAGCAGCGGCCGTCGCCGCCCCGCCGGCGGCTGACAGGTCCGATGACGGAGAGGGGAGCGAGCCGGCGTCGCCGCGCGGAGGCACGCTGACGGATCGGGTGGGGCCACAGGCACCGGCCCGGAGCGGAAACCCCGTCAGGAGGTGGACGTGTTCTGCGAGCAGATGGCTGCTGGTTTCGTAATGGACACAATTTTTATGGGTTTGCGTCAGAAGACAGTGTCGGCCCTGTTTTCAGCTCTTCCATTTCGGCTCCGCGTTGCCCTCCAAAGCAGTGTCCATTATTTGTCCATGATACCAAAAGTTTGCCAGCGTATACAATAAGCTAATCGACAAAGAAGCACAATGATCTGTTTAGAATACCAATCGGGGTTGAACGAGAAGGTCAAATCTAACTAGATGCACCCTAGCTGCCATTACAATGCGCTGCGATTTTCACCGATGGCAACGGATAATTTCCAAACAATCTACGCGTACCAGCGAGAGCACAACACAGAATGCGGGCCAGGGATGCCAAACGGCAACGTGCAAACAATGCCTCTATGTTCCGAATCTTCCATCGCTATTCACCCATCGTGCTAGGCGGAAATGCATCTCGCCCGGTGTCTCTTTGAAGACTGGTCTAGACGGGCATCCGGCTGGGTGTTTTTGCGGTCGAAGATGTAGGCTAGCAGTGTTTACCGTCTTTCCCAGTTAGTCGGCGACCCTTACGTGCACTTTTTGTGCCGCGCTTGTGAAAACGTAGATGAACGCGCGATGACGACAGCCTGTACGGTTCCAGTTTTTATTGTCTCGCCGTGACGATGCTAGTGTTACATCAGGAACTCCAGTCGAGGCTGCAGCGGTTTTTAGAGAGCTCTTGAGTCGCTGCCGCCTCTCGTCCACGTCCAAAAGCACCGCCGAGCCCGGACGGACGATGAACCCATCCTCAGGGTCTCACTCGCAACCCATACCGTTATGCGCCTGCATCACGACGCATTGCGATGCGGCATGCATGCACCGAGAGTGAAACTCACCTCTGCTCGGCCACTTTCATTTTCTCCATGTTGACGGCGTGTCGGGCAGGGCCGCGTCGGTCAGCGGCGCCGGGCGCGGCGTCGGTCACAGCACCCCGCCAGCGGCACACTCGCCCCCGCACCGCTCCGCCGCATTCGCCGCACCGCCAGCGTCTCCGCGCGTCTCCGGCGGCGCGCCTCGCGTCTCCCGGCGGCCGGGCCACTCTGGTGGCCGACGCCGGCGCCGCCGCACGGCTTCTCCGACGGCCGTGACGTCACCAGGGTGCGCGTGACGTCACACTTTCCCTCTCGACCGCGCCGCCAAGGCCGCCGGCCGTGGCCCCCGCCAGCTGGTCCCGTGTCGATTGTAGGTCAGCGCGGGTCGCCGCGGCGCAGTGACGGTCCGGCCGTCGCTCGCGGAACCCCACGGCAGTGCCCCCGGCGATGACCCATGTGACGTCACTGGGTGCTGGCCGACCCGTCGGTTTCACCCTGCTCGCGGCGGCCTCAGTCTCACCGTTCTTCGTCGCGAACGCGCCGGCGTCGCCGCTGCCCCGGGACCAGCGAGCCGGTCCGGCGTCACGGGAGCACCGGGAGCGGCGGGGACGTGACCTCGACGCCTCGCGGGCTATCCTGCACCCAATCACTCCCGCCGCGGGTCGCCCCAACCGCCGCAGCAGGGAACAAAGACGCTCGTGCCCCCGCGGGTAAAAACGGTCACCGATCGGGCAGCCCTGACCGGTGTGGTTTTATCGCGGCTGCGGTTATCACAGAGGCCGCCGGCGTGCGATCCCGGCCAGAGGTGGCCGCGCGCCGGCTTTGCGTGCGAACGTTGCACACCCGTCAGCGCGCCCGCTGCATACGTGTGCGAGGTGGTTAAGGGTCGGTCAAAGCAGGTGGTTAAAGGTCGGCTACAGGCGGCGGTTAAGATCGGTCGGGGCGCGGCCGGCGCGGCGTGTCGGGCGCACGCAACGCGCGGTCGCCGGCGCGTTCCCGCCCCCTGTCTTCATCGTCCCGCTCGCGGCCGCCAATCTCACGCCCCGTGTCACGCGTCACGCCGGCGTTTCCGGCGTGACTGCGGCGTCACGGCGCGTGACGGCCGGACTGTCATCGCATCTGGCCGGCGTCGCGCGCCGCTCGGCAGGCGTGCTCTGGCCTGACGGAATGCAAGGATGGCTTTTGTGCGGCGGCCGCCAGTCGGCGCGCCTCCGCCCCCTCCAGCCAGCCTCTCGCGTGTCCACCGACCTGGGTCGGCGGGCAAGGTCGACGGGCCACATGCCAATCCGTGGCGTCACCGCCGCCGCGAATTGTCGCCCGTGACGCGCTAAGTAGGACCATTAACGCACAGCGCGTAAACGCACTCTGATATTAGCGCTGGGTCAAGATCTCGCCGATACGGTCTGGTATTCGGTGATGGATGGTCGCCGCGTGGTCCTGCCGACGGTGACATCACGCGACCTCGCGCGGCCTTTGTGCGGGGCCGGGACCGCCGCGGGTTCCGTCGCGCAGACGGACGATGACACAGATACCACGCGCGACGGGGGTCAGGTCGAAGAGAGCCCGCACTGGGTCAGATGGACATCGGTTGGGTCACTCAGAGCGGTGATGGCTAGGAGTCCGTGGGATTGCCAGTGCTGTAGGGCAGGCAGACTTTGAGGCTGGGCTCCACGTCGCAGCCTGCGACGTGCGACAATCCTCCTGGAACCTTGAGCCACCAGCCCGGTATTTCAAATGGTGGCAAGCGGCTCTCTTGGTGGTCACTCTTACGGTGGTCTTCGGTGGTCTCTTTGGTGGTCTTCAGAGCAATATGGACAACTGTTATGTGCATGTAGGTTGATTATAGACGCTGGGGCAGGGTCTTTGTCACATGATTCATGGCTGGACAATGTGTCAGGAGTCATTTCCGTTTTTCACATATAAATATTTCCGATTAAAAATCATGCGAGCCAAACATCGGCAGCTAAGTCTTATTCGATGTAAATTAATCTGAATCATCCATGTCAAGGAGTTGTCATGCCACACATCGCGGTGCTCAGTGACCACGTGTGACGCCATTTACAGCGGTGCCATGGACCAGGCACGCGACATGCACTCAGAACTGTACATTAAAGTAATCCCCTCCATACGCCCGTATTTGGTAACCGGGTTGCGTCTCCCTGACGCGCCGAACATGACGCAGAAAGTGACACACCGCTGCGTCATAGTTGGCCCACTCACCCGCTTCCGCGACCTGCCTCTATTGATGATGACACAATACTCCGTAAGATACAAGTCGTATGACATTTCACACCGGCTAGAACAGCATACGTGCTCGTCAAAGTGAGGCTTATTGCTGGGGCCGTTCGGTAACCAATGCTAGCAACAATGATATGCTTTATAAAGAACAGTCTATTGAGGTGCGATATGTCAAATCACCGCTATTTTCTGATCAAACCGTTGGCCATGCCACCTTTCCTTCCCACCATGAAATCATTCCGCTTTTTACGGGTGGATGACGCTATCTGGAGCTGAATGATAAAATAATGGCCCAGAAGCGAGATAAATCGAAGTCTGAGTGGATATTACTTATAATGAATGTCACGATGGCATGAGCTGATCTCGGTTCACCTTCGGAACCGTGGGAGCGACATAGGCGCGGCGCTCAACGTCAGGGGAAGCACGGATAGCAAGCACGGACACCCTGCATGTGTCTGATGAACAACACAGGCCAGAGCAGCGTCCTGCCGCCGTGGCGCGCTGAGAACGGTACCTCGCGGCTGTGGCACGCTGAGAGCGGCGCCCCGAGGGCGTGGCACGCTGAGAGCGATGCCCGAGGGCGTGGCACGCTGTGAGCGGTGCCCCGAGGGCGTGGCGCTCTGAGAGCGGTGCCCCGAGGGCGTGGCACGCTGAAAGCGGTGCCCCGAGGGTGTGGCGCGCTGAGAGCGGTGCCCCGAGGGCGTGGCGCGCTGAGAGCGGTGCCCCGCGGCCGCGGCGCGCTGAGAGCGGTGCCCCGAGGGTGTGGCGCGCTGAGAGCGGTGCCCCGAGGGCGTGGCGCGCTGAGAGCGGTGCCCCGCGGCCGCGGCGCGCTGAGAGCGGTGCCCCGAGGGTGTGGCGCGCTGAGAGCGGTGCCCCGCGGCCGCGGCGCGCTGAGAGCGGTGCCCCGAAGGCGTGGCACGCTGAGAGCGGTGCCCCGAGGGCGTGGCACGCTGAGAGCGGTGCCCCGAAGGCGTGGCACGCTGAGAGCGGTGCCCGAGGGTGTGGCGCGCTGAGAGCGGTGCCCCGAGGGCGTAGCGCGCTGAGAGCGGTGCCCCGAGGGCGTGACACGCTGAGATCGGTGCCCCGAGGGCGTACTCGCCGCTCTGCAGACGTGCATCCCTGCTCGGCCGGCAGCTGCGCACTGACCCTCGCCGAACGAGACGCCGAGACACGCCACCAAGGCGCGCGTACCGGCCATTTATAGATCGTAAAATTATCTAACCGGCTTAGCCAGCATGCTGAGTAAATGACACGGTGTCTCCGAGCTGCAGCAGAAGAGCTGGCTGACTGCGGCGGAGATGGTATGGCAGCAGACTAAGGTGGTGCGGCTGTTGTGCAATTACGCCGCTATTATTTTCCGAGATTTGTTTATCGTTGCTCCGAGATACCCCCGCTAAGTGCTGCCTGCTTTACGCGAATAGGGAGACATGTGGGACGATTCAGAAAAGCGCGCAATAAGTTTGCTAAGTGAGCGGTGTTGTCCGACGCACCTTGTCAGTCCAGGGATCGCGATAATGCATGCCAAAATATAAGAGGAAGTGGCTCGTAGCTCCGATTGACACATGGGTGTCATAACGCAGTCGTGACATAACGCTATTGCAACATAAAGACTAATGACCCATCGGTGGTTATTATGACGCTATATTAATTATGCAGAGCCTCTGCAAGCGTAAAGACGTGCTTTTGCTGTATTAGCATACCGAGCTTACATCTACATCCTGATATTACATCTTAAAATAGATAAGTTCTCAGGAGGCCAAGTTCAAGTCTGAACGTCAGGTTTGAACAGCAAACTGGGTAACATACCAGAGCGTAGCACGGCAGCCGGGAGGAATGTGTTGCAGAAAATCAAACATTGCAGACGTTTGCTAACTTTCGCTGTCTTGTTTTTCAACAGCACTTAGGAATTAACACTTTAGGAGAGCCAACAAGCTCTCAGGGAAGTCCAATACAGATAACGGAGCACTGAAGGAATTAGGTTTGGGTTCACAAAGTATGACTCAACGTCACGCAAATCCATCGCTGCCGCGGAACTTAGCGTGGCAGATTTTGACACGAAATTCTCTGATCTGTCGTACACGTCGTTCAATCTCAAAAACAGCGACAGCAACAGCAGCACATGCAAAGCTGTGCTATACTCTCCCGAATCCTTCGGTATCTATTGTGTTAAATGTGCTTTCATGACCATAAGCCTTACACGATAGCTTGACATACTTATTAGCGTCGTAAGAACAGCATGGAATAACACGAAGTGGGCGGGCCCCGGTGCAAACTAACGGCCTGCTGCGCCCGCATCCCTTTCTCTGCACCCTTCTCCCCCTCACCCAGTGCCTAAAGAGTGGTTAGGCAGAATATTTATGAGTTTCGGGCTTCGGCTTTTGTTCGCATCCTTTCCTCCTGGTTTTTCAAGACATCCAAAAAGTACATTAAGCTAACCCGCTTTCTCAGGCATAATGGACAACTGAAAACACATTCAAAGAGAAAACGACCTCTTCCATTCCATTCAGACCATTCAGGAGGCTTTCGGCGTGGTTGCCTTTCTTCACGGCAGGAGCTTTCTCTCATGCGTCGTAAGAATTCTTGGCATCAGCATAGGCCAATGTGGAAGAGTCGTAAGTGTCGTGGCATTATAATTGTAGCGTGGAGTTGTTCATAGTCTTACCACTAACAAAGAAGTGTGTCAATGCGATATGTCAGTTCTTCGGGAGTTGCTGAGGCAAGAGAGCCAGCTTTTGGAGCTTCGTTCGTACGAAAAAATTAAATTTGAAAACATTTCTGGTAAAAATTATGTCACCTAATTATTATATTTCTTTACATAACAAGTGGTTATTTGGAAGAAGCTGTTGTTTCCCTCACTACCTGTCCACAGAATTGCGCTTATCAAATAAAGCTCTTGAGCAAATATACGGAAGCAATTT